TTTTGTGTTCGCTTTTATCAATAATAATAACTTCCACGCTTTTTGTGTAACGTATTTGTCTTTTTGTGTTTTCTCGATTAGTTTTAGCTTGTATAATCCGTTTCTCTAGTCTGCAATCTTCACATGTGTGTATTTCCTTGCAGACGGTTCTCGTACACTCTTGTTACGTCTTGTACTTCATCGATGCTTAGATGTGACTAGGTGTACTTTATGTACCTTTGCACTCTTGCTGCCTTAGGCTCTTTTGCTATGTGGTGCTCTTCTATTTCAGATTTAGGCTCCTGACTTATGCATATAGTGATTTCCTACATATTACCTTAGTAACTTGTAAGCTTGCCTGTTCGATTTATGCGGCCTCCCTGAAGCTTCTCTTATGGTTGCACTTAGTCTGCTTGTGCTCGCCTCTCCTAACGTGTTCGAATGGCTTAGGACTTGTACAGTAACGCCGGGGTTGGTACAGAACTGTTGTGTACTTCGACATTTGTAGAATTTAGCACACCAAAATATAACAAGTTATCACTGATGACAGGTTTCTTAATTTTTTAGCGTCCCAATATTGATGTTATCATTTTGACAGGTTATATAATTGTTCACTCGGGGCTATCTAGGTGTGCTTATATTTGGTGACACCTAGATTCACTTACTTTTGTACTCAGTAGGATAACGTTGTTGTGCTTTTTGTATATTTTGTGGCCGGAGTTCGGTCGTTTCTCTCAGTGTAGAGGCGTCCTCGTTTTATCTCCTGTCTTCTTTTCTTACAAGGTGTCTCGTCTAGGTTGTGCTCAGCTTTCAGTGCCCAGTGGTAGTTCTATCCTTAGATGGGATTTTCTTTGTCAGCTTCGTGTTCTGGCCCCACTCCTCGCGTTTTCCTTTCTGGCTAAGTTACAATATTGTTCTTATTTCGTACTAGTTAAGGTTGTGTATAGCAGAGTTCTGCTTCTGTTGTTTGACTTATCGTGGTAAAGATATTGTTAAAAATGTAGAGTTAGAGTAGCCTACTAAAATACGACCAAATGAATCAATAGACCTCTTCTCAAGTGCAAATCTATCCGCTAGGTAAAGTCATAGGCTGAAGGACTCCCATTGAGTCCTTTTGTGTTTAGTATTTTTACACTAGACCCAAATTATACTCGAGTGTTTCTCTCTCACACGGGGGTCCCGCTATATTTCTGATCACTAATATCAGAAATACAGGATCCTGGATCCAAAACTCAGTATTTAATAATCTTGGTTTTGGATTGGCTTACCTGATAATCTGGTCCCTAGATGCTACACGGATACTACTTTCTAATACCTTTTACATTAGTTTCAGTCTAACCTCAGAAATAGGCGCACCAATGGGACTGATACTATTGCATCAATACTATTAAGCTACCTTAATATTGCTATTTTTTGATACACTGAACGATGTCAAAGACAGTGTCATCTACGAGTTTTTCTTGCAGTTAGACGTGGGCCAGTGCAGGGTCAGCATTGTAGGGGCAATTTGTAGAAATACGGCCTCCGGTCAGTCTAAAATATCAAGACCAATTGAGATAATACATTGGTTTTTATTTGTATTTTAAATAATTTAATACAAGCTCTTTTTCCAATATTTCCAATGTGTTCTAAATTCACTTTGATGGCTCCAATAGCCTGAGTATTTAGTATGACTCATCTACTTGGACCTATTTGAGACATTAGTAGATGTAGGATATTATAAACTAAATTTTATAATCTCCGAACTACTACTTATAGATTTTGGTCCTCCAGCCAATCTCCAAAATCCAATAAGTC